AGAACTACTTTACTAGGTGTCCTCTATCACTTTTTTTAACGGACACCCTGCAGCCAATCAGAATCGAGTATTCACCCAGACCATGGTATAAAGTTATATAAATAATAGTATATCAGTCTGGCAAGTAACCAAAAAAATTCACTAGCCAATGGCGATTCTATTGCCAAGGTTTGCATAGAGGGTTGTTTATGAGTAATGAACAATGCAACATTGTTAATGTTTACACTGTTATTGATCTAAACTGAATCAACACCAAGCCGACATGACCTGAATTGTGACAAGATTGTCTTTTTTTTTTTTTTTAACTCTTTTTTTGGCATTTTTCTTATTTGCAACACAACATACAAAGACAAAGAACAAGGGGCATTATATATTGTATAATATTACTAAAATTGTTCCGCTTCTTTATATGCAAAACATTTTGTCCAGCGCTTATTATATATATGTGTAATTTTATATGTAGAAAGTATGTAATTTTCTCCATTGAGTGTATCTGACAAGATTGTCCTTTTAATGCTGCTTTACCGCTGAAAATGTCATAATTGACCATCTTTGCCAAATGAAGAATACTATAATTTTCTTGTTTATTACTGTGAAGCTGCTTTGAAAGCAATCCGTATTGTATAAAGCGAATATTTAAAGAAATGTTTGTTTACCCCATGACCAGGTCCATCCGGTAGCCCGGGACAGCCCAGCGTAGCCAAACGGAAGAAGCTGCCGGTGGAAAGCGTGTTCAACCGCTTCGACGACGACGAGGTGGACGAGGCGCCTCGGAAAAGGAAGCTGGTGCCTTTAGACTACGAGGATGAGGAGAAGGGAGTGGATGTGGGAGCGATCGACGGAGGCAAAGGAGTCAATACGGAAGAGAAGCGTAAACACATCAAGAGTCTGATCGAGAAGATTCCCACTGCCAAACCAGAGCTCTTCAACTACCCGCTCGACTGGTCCGTCGTCGACACGGTAAGAGCGATGCATGTCGTTGTATGGACTTGCTGCTGCTTATTTCCCAAGCTGTCTAACTTGTGTTTTTGAATATTCCCGCCATTCACAGACACTCATGGAGAAGCGTATTCGACCATGGATCAATAAGAAGATCGTAGAGTACATTGGTGAAGAAGAAGCCACATTAGTTGACTTTGTTTGCTCCAAGGTAAGAAAACAAAAAATCAGTTAAACAGACAGTAGCTGCGTTTCCATTACCCTTCAATTTGCGCAAATTGAAATTGCGAAATGAAAATACGCTCAATAGAAACACGTCAATTTCGCAAAAACTCCCGTTTATCGCAAAAAAGTTTTTACGCTCGCATGAGGAGGTCTATCAGGCAATTCGGAAAAGGATTTTTTTCGCAAAACTGCAATGGAAACGGATTTTGCGCATTTACAGTCACCTGACTTAGAAGACGGAGTGTGTTTTAGGTCCGTTTCTGCAAATAATAATAATAATAATTATCATCATTAGCCTATTATAACATTTATTAGGCTACAAGACGCTAGAAGACGCTTTTATCCAAAAAAGGAACAAAGCAATTCGTCACATCTCATTAGTACAGATAATAGGGCTAAGATTATCACAAATAAACACTTGATTTTGTCCAATATCCAAGAGTGTGTGTGGAGTTTGGAGCACTGGATGGCAGACAGACGCGGGCGCGTCGTGAACACTTTCATTTTCCCATCAACAGTGCAATCAACTTAAAATACTCTAACATTTCTGGTTATACAGAAAATAATAATACATTATTCGCAACGACTTTTATTTGCGTAATGTCACAATAACAAGAAAATGTTGTGCTTTTGTAAAATAACATAAAACAATCAGGCGCGCTTTATGATCTCCATGAACTGAAGCGTGAGAACTGAACCAATAGCCTTTATAGACTAAAGCTTGAAATGTCCACTTTAAAAAGAACAAATTCGAATCGTAAACTAATACCTTTTGATTATTTAATCGAATGAAAGGTCCCGTTCTCTCTAAAGGTGCATCCGGAGATTGTTTTTAGCTCGTTATTTTGTCAGACGCATTTTATAATAACTCATCTATCGGGAAAAAATATCATAAATATCCAGATTCTAATTTGGCCTTAGAAAACTAGCAAAATCTACATTTTTTTTTTCTCCCCATATTAATTTGTGAATATTTTAAATGTTCAAAAAGTCATAAACAAATATCTAAAAATTTGTTGAGATGTATATAGCGCAGCATTGGTGTGGTCAAACTAAAATGTTGGTGTTCAACTTTGCGTTTTAAAAATACAACCGTTCATTTTTCGTTTTGCAACGACCGTTAGGACATAATATGAGAGAGTTCTTTAGTAAATTTATTTTTTTTTAAAAAGAAACAATAATTACAGGAATAGCCTCTCTAAACCTCAAAGAAATGCCATCAAGACATCGAAGCAGAAATAAGGGAGAAACACCAGGAACTCCGTGTCTTTCCCTGCCATTAATGCTTGGATAACACACCACGTCTCCTTCCATTAATAATAATAATAATGTCTAGTGCGGTGCATGGCTGTGAAATAGGTTATAAACCTACCAAAGTCCGTTGCCATGATTTTTGGAATGGCTTATCGCGAGAGGAAAAAAAAGACGTTTTAGTCGCAAAACATCGTTAATGGAAACTCCGTCATTTCGCAAGTTTTTTATCGACATTTGGAAAATATCGCAAAAGTTTTGCGCAAATCTGTAATGGAAACGCGCCTAGTTTCTAGTCTCATTGACTTCCATAGTAGGAAAAAAATATACTATGGAAGTTAATGAGACCAGAAACTGTCTGGTTACTGATATTCTTCTAAATATCAGGAAATCGGCTGAGTACATTAGAAAACGGTAAAACCCAACTATTTAACTCTGGGGGAGTGGTAAAATGAGCCCATTTCCAAAAAAAAGTGGATTATCCCTTCAATGATTTAATTTGATTGGTGTCTTATTATTCTAATAGAACTTATCTCTCATTTCAAATTCTTAAATTTGATCAATGAGGCTTACATTTATCAAGATAAGGGGAAAAAAGACATTTATAAAGAAAAGAAATGCCTTTCACAAATATGCAGATTTAAATGGCGGGTATAGAGTTAAGCGTACCAAATCATTCAGCAGACTCTTTTATCCAGACGACTGCTGCTGTTTCTTCTCAGGTCATGGCCCACAGTACACCACAGGGGATCTTAGACGACGTCGCGATGGTAAGTCTAAGCTTTTCGCACCATTGTAAAGACTAGCTCCATCACATGATCTAACTACTTCCCCTCGTCGTCTCAGGTGCTGGATGAAGAGGCTGAGGTCTTCATAGTTAAAATGTGGAGGCTATTGATTTATGAAACTGAAGCCAAGAAGATTGGACTTGGGAAATGAGCAAGCATTGAACTTTGCTGTTTACTTCCCGTTTGGGCTGGACAGCTCATCTAGGTTTAAAAACAACTTGGGAAACTCGACCATTTCCAACCTTTGGAGTTAATAAATATTGAGCCGTTTGATTTCTCACGTCCCAGGCGCGAGCACCGACTCTAAACGTCTGCTTTTAGCTACCGAGAGGAAGAGGTTTGATTTTCTCAGGGCCTTCCTGTTGAATCCATCTTCAGAGTAGCGTCATCTTGCCCGGTTAGCGTCTCTTTCTGTGAGTGCCCATTGTAAATTCCTATTGTATTGATTGCCAATCATGCCTGGGTTGTGATTTTACCATTTTTGTTTTTGTTTGTTTTTTGGTCACCATCACCAACCGTACCAAAGAGTTTCCCCCAGTTGTTTCGCTAAAACAAAACCAGTTGATTGGACCCCAACACTGTTCAGACGGTCTCTCACTAAGCTGAATTACATTAAAACGATTGTCTTTGTTTTTGTACTTACCAGTGGATGTGTTTTGAATAAAAGTAATTTTTTTTTTTTAGTAAAATCATTTTGTGTGTGCATATATTACTGTGTTCGGTCCTGGGTTCAGCTTTGAAGTTCACTCTTGAATATTTAATTTATTATTTTTTTTTAAATTAGCGGTGTAAAATACTTTTACATGCATACATATTCATTTGGGGTATTTGTAATTTGTATGGAATTTTTTTATCTTACATTGCCAAAGTACTAAGCAAAAAACATCGCTTTTTACTGCACTTTTTTATTTTGTTTTAAGTTGTTCAGGTCTTTAATATCCAATTTTTTAGGGTTATTTTGAATTTACAATAATTATAGAAGTAAATACTGAGCCTTTGGTGATATTTAACTAGTGAAAATACAATTACAGTTATCTATGGCAAGCCATTTTAGCTTAAATTGTATCCAGCCTTTTTCATTTTTGATGAGAGACCTTTACAATTTAATTAGTACTAGTAGCAATTACGATTAAAGAGCACTCTAATTCGATTGTAATTGTCATTTGGACCTTGAACCGTTTGGACCCCATTGAAGTCCATTATATGGAGAAAAATCCTGGAATGTTTTCATCAAAAACCTTAATTTCTTTTCGACTGAAGAAAGAAAGACGTGGACATCTTGGATGACATGGGGGTGAGTAAATTATCAGCAAAAGTTTTTTTTAAAAGTGAACTACACCTTTAATGACACGTCCGATTCGCAAACTAATGACTCCTTTGAAGCGATTCACTTTAATGAATGGTTAAAACAACTGATCTGCCCAACACTGAACTCAAGAGACATAAATCGGAAATATTTTACAATAAAGGTTCCATTTATTAAAGTTAACGTTTCTTTGTGGATTTACAGTCATTCTAGAATGATTCATTCTTTCCAAATAGAGCTATTCAAGTCATCTGGTGAAATTGTTTTTATATTGCAGAAAAATAAAATATCGCAATGCCATTTTTTACCAATATCGTGCAGCCCTAATCCTCGCTATGTGTTTTCTATACAGTCGAAATTTCAGCACTTCAGTCGACCAAGATGTTCTTTGGTTGATTACAGCCCTAGTAATTACAAGTGGTAATTACGACACGGCATGAACGCACCTTCATCACTCAAACACTTACGACACGGCTTGTTTGAAGACATCATAGGCTCCATATCCAGGTTTCTTGTATTTCTCGTCAAACACCCATGCGGTGCGCTGGAATAAACTCTCCAACTGCTCGTCTTTAGTATACTCCAACACTTCAGCGACATGCCGTAGAATACTGTACACCTGCAGCACAACAACATCCTCAAACCACAAATAATAATACAAAATAATTTCACTTTCATTTAGAAAACAACCACTCACGGTTTTAGATTTGGTGAATTTATCTTCACACTTGATGGCTTCTTCCGGAGACACTCTTCGTTTGGACAAATCTATGTATCCTGTAGAAGAAAAGTGGGATTTTTGACACATTTTTTTAATACTTTTCCATCAACCGGTTAAAATTTACAACACTTGGTTACAGAGGTGTAGTCAAGACCATTCAAGAGCCACACCGCAAAATCCTCAGTGTTAAAAAAACTTTTGCTGATAATTTACTCACCCCCATGTCATCCAAGATGTCCACGTCTTTCTTTCTTCAGTCAAAAAGAAATTAAGGTTTTTTAACATTCCAGGATTTTCTCCATATAATGGACTTCAATGGGGTCCAAACAGTTCAAGGTCCAAAAGTTTCAGTGCAGCTTCAAAGGGCTTTAAACGACACCAGACGGTGAATAAGGGTCTTATCAAGCGAAACGATCGCTCATTTCAAAAATAAATAAAGTTTAAGTTTTATAAGCACAAATGCTCGCCTTGCTCTGTTCTATGATGCGCGTTCGTGACTCGAACTCGTTCATCAAAATGAACAAATAATTTTTTGAGTCATTTGGTTCATTTTGTTCGTTGAATCAACCAAATGACTCAAAAAAAAGAGTCGTTCATTTTGATGAACGAGTTCGAACAGGAGAGTCATGAACATTTGTGCTTTTAAAACTTAAACTTTGTTATTTATTTTTTAAATGAGTGATCGTTTCGCTAGATAAGACCCTTATTCATCGTCTGGTGTCGTTTAAAGCTGCACTGAAACTCTCATTTGGACCTTGAACCGTTTGGTCCCCATTGAAGTCCATTATATGGAGAAAAATCCTGGAATGTTTTCATCAAAAACCTTAATTTCTTTTCGACTGAAGAAAGAAAGACGTGGACATCTTGGATGACATGGGGGTGAGTAAATTATCAGCAAAAGTTTTTAAAAAAGTGAACTACTCCTTTAATACGACTTTCCTAAAGCTCAATTTGCAAAATGTGCATCCCAAGTTGTCCTTTTTCCCAGCCATGACCACGTCCATTTTCTTCTCTTTTCTCAGCGCACATAAAAACCACAATTGCGGAAGTAAAGTGCGATTCATCTTGCTCTGCTTGTTTACCGCTAGTGTCGCAGCCTACGGTTTATTGGGTGTCATCGTCGTACCGTGCGATTTGTAATGATCTTCTAGAGTGGAACAGAAATGGAAAAGAATACCGAGATTGAAGTACAGCGAGAAATTTATGCATTAATGACAAGTTTTCACTCTGCATTGATGAATCAGCTGAAATATAATATTGATCATAGTTGTGATGCTTTAAAAGGCCACCAGTTAAAAAATAAATAAAAAAAACAGGTTTTCACTTCTTTATACTGTTTACTCTTGTGTAAATAATGAATTTGCTGCAACGCCACTAGTTTGCCGCTTCCATACAAAAACAGTTTATTTGCATCCATTTCTGCACTGAAGCTGCTGTTGGTCTTCATCTAGTCCTCTGTCTTGGCCTCCATTTCCTCCGCGTCGTCGTCGCCATCCACTTCTGCGTTCTCTCGCTCCAGACGCTCCAGCTGCCGCTGCAGTTCGGTTTCATCCGTGTCCGTGACCACTTTGGGCTGACCGGAAACAGTCATGCGTGAGAATGCATTCAGAGCAAATACATTTATAAAACATTGCATGGTATTTCTGTTTCCTTTTTAGTGTCAGAGATTACTTTAATCTCATATCATAGGGATGCTCATATTCACCGTTTAGCCGTTAACCGAAATAACCGATTAATACTATCAGTTAAACGGTTTAATAGTTGTTTTTGTTGCTGCATGGTTAAAAAAAAGTACTATAAAGCCTATATTTGTTTACTCACGGGGTGCGTCGATGCAAGCGATCATTTTAACAGAAAGGACGACAAAGTTACTTGCAACATCTGCAGCAGTAGTTACAAGTAGGGCTGGGCGATAAAACAATAGCGATAGTTATCGCGATATAATTTTTCTCGATAAAACGATATTAGGGATGCACGATATATCGGCCAGCATATCGGCATCGACCGATATACGTTCATTTTTAACGTTATCGTTATCGGCCTGGTTAGAAAATGTGGCCGATATATTAAAGCCGATAAATAATGTATTATTCCCTTCAGCTGAGACACTTGTTGAGAACTGTTTATGTTTTTGAATTTCTTGAAATATGATTGAAATCTCTTCAAAAAACGAAAATACGGTTTGGTACAAGATGTGCAGCGCAAATCTGTCATATCGGCTTTACAAGACTATAATGAGAACATCATTATTATTGTGCGCTTGGGACGTGAATTTAATTGTGAGACTTTTGTATTTGTAATCAGGCTCTCAAAATTGGATAATTTGGATTTAAGTTTATCGACCGATATATCGGTTATCGGCTTTCAGATATAAAGAATTATCGGTTATCGGGATCGGCTAAAATTTTCATATCTGTGCATCCCTAAACGATATCAAGAGTTTGATAATGTTTATGTGCCAAAAGTGGAATGAAACTCAATTGAACCGCGCGCCACACAGACCATTTATCCGCTTTTGAACTTAACAGGTCTTGTCTATTTGTGTTTGTATGTCATATGGATAATAAGAGAACTTGAGGTAAATATTGTTTTCTTATATATTTTTTAGTTTTAACTTTAGCACTTTCGTTTCACCAATTTTGAAAGTTGTGTACGGAAAAGCTTCTGTGCTCCTATTGGTCAACCTCATACATGCGACGGAACCGTCGTGGACGACCGTTTTAAAAAATTGAACATGCTAGTCTTTTTGTCGTGATGTCGTGAAGCGTCGCAGACGCGACGTAGTTTGTCACACACTATACGAGATGACACGATCGAATCTTGCGTCTCGACGCCCGTTGTCATTACGAATCCCCACGACACCCTACGTCAAACGGATCATGCCAAAATCGGGCTAAAATCGTGTTATCTGAACCAGGCATTAGGGAAAAAAAACTCTGGCGCCTTAAGTCCGTGTGTCCACCAAAGCGTTTTTCCACGCTCCTGGCGTATGTTTTCAATGGGAGCGCCGCGTTTTTTAAACGCCATGAGCGAAACGAGACGCTGAGTGTTTTTTTCACGCTGAAGCGCCGAGCGCCCGGCGTTTTTTACTGGTCGCTGGGACTTTGGATAAAACGCAGCGATCATCACTGTCGCTTTTTACCCAGCCGTCCAATCACAGTGGAGGAGGGGCGGGACTAATACCACACCGACCAACTGTCACAACATTCAAACTGTGCTCCTAAATTCTGTATCATAGCAACGAATCATCTCAACGGAAAAAACGCTGCGCTGCCAAAACGCTCTCAAGCACCCAAAGCACAGCATTTTCAGCAGAGCGTCTAGCGTTTTCAGCTAGCTAAAAACGCTTTGGTGGACACACGGCCACAAGGGTAAACTAGTGAAAATACAATTAGAGATATCAAGAGTTTTTACTTGTTGAAATCGAAATCTTAATATCAATAATTTGTATTTCTGCAAGTCATTCTTCATATGTAGAAGTTCACATTTTTACAAGTGTAAATGTAATTCCTGATAGCGACTCTGAAAGTTTCTCACCTCCATCTGGACGTTGAAGACTCCCCGCTTCTCCTCGATCCGCTCCTTGATGGCAATCATGGCCTGGTTGAGCACCGACAGTCCCTCTGTGCGCTCCAGAGTCGTGGTGGTCATCACGTACCGCGGCGGCGCTATCAGATTTATCTGAAAGAAGATACGAATACAGAATCTGCAGATCATGAAACTGGTACCGAAAGGTATGAAAAGTAGTTTTCATCCGGCCGAAAGTAAAGGAGGAACGGCGCACCTTGATGGGCATAGCCTCGGTGGAGCAGTTTAGCCCCGCCCTCAGAGCGTCTTTAACCGCATCAATGCCTTCATATCCATAACACGCCACCTCGATGTCTGTTCATGGGGTAAAACCAAACATAATGCTAAACATACATGAATGCAACATATGGCATATATAAGATGTTTTTGTATTTTCTAGTTTGATCCTTATTTAATGAATCAAAAGCTTTGCTTCAAAAAGTGTTGATCTGTGGACTTAAAGGGATACTCCACCGTTTTTTTTTTTTTTTCAGCCTTATTAGCATGTTAATGACAAACGTATTGGGTTTGAGTCGTAAAGTTTCAAGTTTCATCCAAAATCCTGTTTCGTTTTGTTCTATTGTATTTAGTTCAATATTTTTGTTTAGTCGTTTTTGAGAATGTAAAAAAAAAAAAATAACAGTAAGTGAACAGGAAAAATGAGATATTTTTGACACTATAAAGACATCATCAAAGTAGTCATGTGCCATCAGTGGGTTAGTTACAACTTTTGAAGCATCGAAAATTCATTTTGGTCCAAAAATAACAAACTACGACTTTATTCAGCATTGTATGGTTTTCCGGTTCTATTGTGGATATATTTATATGTCTAAATATTTTTTAAAATTAAAATTAAAAAGGTCAATTAAAATACTTTGTTACTTTGCATTTAAACTACCTGTATTGTGAAGAGTGCAATACATGTTTATAATAAAATACCAGCTCTTATTTTGACAGCCTGTGGAGTGAGCCGTCTGTTGATGTTGTCGATGAGCACGTTTCTCTCTTCCTCGGTCAAATCCAAACCATCCAGGATGGCGGGATCACTGTGGAAACAAACAACGAGCAAGTAAGCTAAACATTTCACATTTCATTTCATTTCCATGTTCAGTTCAAGTCTTGCTCTGTTTATGCTGCGTTCACGCCATGTCATAACCGTAATAATTCCGACGTTCTACTCATATGATGGACTTCAATGGGAACCAAACGGTTCAAGGTCCAAAAAGACCGTTTCAGTGCAAACTGTTCAAAGTGCTTTAAAGCGCTTTCAAAGCGCCCTGTTCTGTGATGCGCGATCGTGACTCTCCTGTTCGAACTCGTTCATCAAAATGAACAAATCTTTTCCTGAGTCAACTCGTTCATTTCGTTCGTTGAATGAAACAAATGACACGAAAAAAGATTTGTTCATTTTAATAAACGAGTTCGAACAGGAGAGTCACAAACGTGCATCACAGAACAGAGCAAGGCGACCATTTGAGCTTATAAAACTTAAACTTTGTTATTTTTTTATTAAATGAGCGATCATTTCGCTTGATACGACCCTTATTCATCGTCTGGAATCGTTTAAAGCCCTTTGACTAGTTTGCAGTTTGAACCGTTTGGTTCCCATTGAAGTCCATTATATGGAGAAAAATCCTGGAATGTTTTCATCAAAAACCTTAATTTCTTTTCGACTGAAGAAAGAAAGACGTGGACATCTTGGATGACATGGGGGTGAGTAAATTATCAGCAAAAGTTTTTTTTAAAAGTGAACTACACCTTTAATGACACGTCCGATTCGCAAACTAATGACTCCTTTGAAGCGATTCACTTTAATGAATGGTTAAAACAACTGATCTGCCCAACACTGAACTCAAGAGACATAAATCGGAAATATTTTACAATAAAGGTTCCATTTATTAAAGTTAACGTTTCTTTGTGGATTTACAGTCATTCTAGAATGATTCATTCTTTCCAAATAGAGCTATTCAAGTCATCTGGTGAAATAGTTTTTATATTGCAGAAAAATAAAATATCGCAATGCCATTTTTTACCAATATCGTGCAGCCCTAATCCTCGCTATGTGTTTTCTATACAGTCGAAATTTCAGCACTTCAGTCGACCAAGATTTTCTTTGGTTGATTACAGCCCTAGTAATTACAAGTGGTAATTACGACACGGCATGAACGCACCTTCATCACTCAAACACTTACGACACGGCTTGTTTGAAGACATCATAGGCTCCATATCCAGGTTTCTTGTATTTCTCGTCAAACACCCATGCGGTGCGCTGGAATAAACTCTCCAACTGCTCGTCTTTAGTATACTCCAACACTTCAGCGACATGCCGTAGAATACTGTACACCTGCAGCACAACAACATCCTCAAACCACAAATAATAATACAAAATAATTTCACTTTCATTTAGAAAACAACCACTCACGGTTTTAGATTTGGTGAATTTATCTTCACACTTGATGGCTTCTTCCGGAGACACTCTTCGTTTGGACAAATCTATGTATCCTGTAGAAGAAAAGTGGGATTTTTGACACATTTTTTTAATACTTTTCCATCAACCGGTTAAAATTTACAACACTTGGTTACAGAGGTGTAGTCAAGACCATTCAAGAGCCACACCGCAAAATCCTCAGTGTTAAAAAAACTTTTGCTGATAATTTACTCACCCCCATGTCATCCAAGATGTCCATGTCTTTCTTTCTTTAGTCGGATAGTAATTAAGTTTTTGATGAAAACATTCCAGGATTTTTCTCCATATAATGGACTTCAATGGGAACCAAATGGTTCATGGTCCAAATGAGAGTTTCAGTGCAGCTTTAAACGACACCAGACGATGAATAAGGGTCTTATCTAGCGAAACGATCACTCATTTAAAAAATAAATAACAAAGTTTAAGTTTTAAAAGCACAAATGTTCATGACTCTCCTGTTCGAACTCGTTCATCAAAATGAACGACTCTTTTTTTTGAGTCATTTGGTTGATTCAACGAACAAAATGAACCAAATGACTCAAAAAATTATTTGTTCATTTTGATGAACGAGTTCGAGTCACGAACGCGCATCATAGAACAGAGCAAGGCGAGCATTTGTGCTTATAAAACTTAAACTTTATTTATTTTTGAAATGAGCGATCGTTTCGCTTGATAAGACCCTTATTCACCGTCTGGTGTCGTTTAAAGCCCTTTGAAGCTGCACTGAAACTTTTGGACCTTGAACTGTTTGGACCCCATTGAAGTCCATTATATGGAGAAAATCCTGGAATGTTAAAAAACCTTAATTTCTTTTTGACTGAAGAAAGAAAGACGTGGACATCTTGGATGACATGGGGGTGAGTAAATTAAGTAAATTATCAGCAAAAGTTTTTTTAAGTGAACTACTCCTTTAAAATTAAAGTTTGAAGTGTTTGTTTTCTCCACACTACAGTGTTAAAGCAACTCTGACTCAGTGTTGGAGTTATTGAGATAATCAAGCGATGATTGGGCATTAGTGATGATTAACAAGCAGAATCACTGAAGCAAAGAGAAACGACAAGAACAGAAAAAGAGAAGAGACGAGCAGAAACACAAGAACTACAACTAAGATGAAAGATGAAGAGATGCTTTTATCCTTCCAGTTTGCTTTTATTTCCCCCAGTGGCGAACCAATTAGCCAGACTTGCCGACAGCAACTTTAAGGAATTAATAGGCTATTTCTTTTACCCTTCTCTTTGTCCACTCTGATGACCACCACGCATTCGTTGCGTCCGATGCGGATAAGTTTGTTGATGGAGCGGATGCGCCTGCGCGACAGCTCGCTCAGCAGGATCATGCCCTCGATGTTGTTATACTCCAGCAGACTGACATACGCGCCCATCTCTGCGATGGAGCGCACGTTCACCATCACCACATCCTCCACCTCCGGGAAACGGTGCTGGTAAAACCTACAGCTGAGGCCCGGCATCTCTACACAAGAAAAACAAGCAGAGCTGAGATCATATCCAAACACTAGCGCTTCTTTAACGAGCACTAGAATAACTGCATTAATTTTAATAGATCTGATGTCTGATTTGTTTACATGGTTCCTTTATTGTGGAAATTTGTCTTTGGCTTCAAAATACACCACACACAAAGACACCAACCCAACATAAACAAATTAAAGTCAATTGATTTTCAGTCTTTAGTTGACACGGAAACCCAAATGTGATCATCCTCCTCACAAAATTTTAAAGACAGATCTCTATTTCATCTATAAAGACCCAGTTTACACTGTAAAAAAATTAATTAATATTATAAATGTGTCATATTTGATTTGGAACGGGTTTTTTTCTTAAGGAAGTGGCATTGGTAGATTAATTATTTATATTGGTTTATTATTGTATTTATGGTTAAAATAGAATACAATAATCTATCTATTAAGGTATCTATTAATCTTGTCTTTCTGTCGGTCTATGCCTATGCGAGCGCGTGCGGCACATGCTCTATGATGACAGCAGCAATTAAACACTCATATCATCCCAAACATGAGCTCAACATGAGCAGAACCATCACGGATGTGGAGGTAACTCAATCCCACCTGACAGGTGTCACAGACTGCTCACTTTAAACCCTCAAATATCTAGAAACTTTAGTATTTCGGCGACTGTTAGTTTGCCATTGATACAGCGATCCGAGAAAGAATGAAGCGAGCAGCAACAAGCGTATAACAGGGATGTTGCATGAATATGGCGTTACTTCAAAATAAAAGTCACTTACGTTGTATTAGTGTTGTTAACTGGTATGGGGCAAGTTCGAAAAAGTAACAAGGTGCATCTTGGAAGGAAAAACGAGGCTTTCTGATTAAATAATCAGAGTGTGGGTGAAAAAATACCGTTTATTTCACAAACGCGTTGGCACACAAGCGTTCACCAGGGCTAACATTATATTTTCTTGAAAATATTTATATTATGAATATTTTTAAAGAGGGTTTTAAGAGGGTAACTGATCAGTCACTACAAATACCGATTGTTTGTTCTTATCGTTCTGATGTTCGTTGTTTAGAAAGGATAACATATTTTCACTATAAATACAATATTGAGCAATATGAAGAGACAGCATATTTTTAGGTTTATATATTATATTGTATTTTTTTTTTTTTTTCAAATCCAAAACAAACAGATGCATTACAGTCAACCGCTATTTTGTAACATGAATACACAGACACGCACGGAAGTGACGCGACCAATCGCCGCATTCGGGAGGAATCACGTGACCTCCAGTCAGCTGATCATCAAATCCTGCGTCCTGTAGCTCGGGTCATAGCGATGGTATTATAATCATTTAATCGTGATATTGAATAAACGGACGCTATATTTGAACGATTTAATCGGCAAAGCGTCTCAGTAGTTTGATATAGTGTTTAAATTAAAGAAGAAAGATGTCGGGAAAAGAACGGATCGACGTATTTCCCTCTAGAATGTGAGTATGATGCTCGTGACGTCAAATCAGATTTCATATTTTTGATCGTGCATGAAAATAACCGAGTGACAGCATCTGATAAATACATTTTTAAGAGTTAATAATTTTATATAGAATGTCAAAGCACGAACTAAGATAATATTGAATGCCCTGGAGTCGTGCGTCATCTAGGATTTATGATTTATGAATTTGTCAAGGATGAAGAGTCAAAGAAAGCGTGTATATTACGCTAAATTTATATGTTATTTCTAAATCAGCAATCATAATATAGATTGTAATATTGATTGTACATTATCAGTGTACGATATATCATAAAGCAGAGACCTTTTGTCTGCAGAATAACATATAACTCTTTATGATGGATTACAATATTTTAGAAGTTGTTTTCATAAAAATATCTTGAAACTAAATTGTATAGTAAATTCGAGTGGATTCAGAAGAGGAAGTGATATTATTCACAGTCATGTGAGCCCTTCACTGCTTGACAGTCTACTGACCATAACTAAGAGATTCTGGACAAAAGCTTAAAATACATATAATAAAGAAATATAATAGTTGTAATCTACAATATCAATGTATATTTAATTAATCATATAAAATTTATAAAATATAAAATAAAATATGCATTAAAATTGTCTAAATAAATGTTGCCTAATAATAACCATAGCCTCTGTGTGTGTGTGTGTGTGTGTGTGTGTGTGTGTGTGTATAATTATTATTATTTTTTATTTATTTTATTTTCATTGGATCAGGGCTCAGACCATTATGAAAGCCCGACTGAAAGGAGCTCAAACTGGCCGTAGTTTGCTGAAGAAGAAAGCTGATGCTCTGTCCATGCGATTTCGTCAAATTCTTAGAAAAATAATTGAGGTATAACATCATCATACATATGCCCTTATTTTAGATATCTGTCCTTGTTTTATTTGTTGTCTTGTGTGTTATTTGAGGTTTTTGAAACTATGTTTTAACCCTCCAGACTAAGACTCTGATGGGAGAGGTGATGAGGGAAGCTGCCTTCTCATTGGCTGAGGCCAAGTTTGCTGCTGGTGACTTCAGGTAGTAGAAACTGTCATTAAAGAAACACTTCTTAATGTCTGAGGATGAGTTTAACTGCAGAATCTCACCGAATGTGTTTGAATCCTGTCAGTACTACAGTCATTCAGAACGTGAACAAGGCCCAGGTGAAGGTCAGAGCAAAAAGGGACAATGTTGCAGGTTTGTTTATCTATCTATCTATCTATCTATCTATCTATCTATCTATCTATCTATCTATCTATCTATCTATCTATCTATCTATCTATCTATCTATCTATCTATCTATCTATCTTGTCTGTCTGTCTGTCTGTCTGTTGTCGGAGGAAAAGTTCCACTCACTGCAATAAATCTAAGTTTAGACTTTATGAATGAAGAGAACAAAGCCGTGATGCAGAACATCTGATGATCACACTCATGAATGATATGCTGTTTTTGATATACAGCTGTTTGCCTCTTCTTTAAATCTTCACACACTCTTTCCAAAAACCTGCCATTGGTACTTCCCATCTCTTTTTACAGTTTTTCTCCGTCGCTTTGGTGCATTTCTCACATCACTATTTACATTTGCACAACAGTTAGTTCAACCTCCACAACATTTAGTCATTTGTGCACATCATAGTAGCAGTTTCTCATTCCTTCCAACAAATTGCAAATGCTTTTGGACATACAACTCTCTGCTGCTGTTTTATAACATTATCATTTGCTTATGTCATATCAGTCCAAATTACCTATACTTGTGAATGCTGAAGTCATTCCATAGAAAACTAATAGTCCTCATTTCATTGCTTGAGTCATCACATACAAAAATGTTAAACTAGTTGTCAAAATCCGTCAAGCAAATTTTACATTTTTTTTATTATCTTTAAAAAAAACCAAACTTTTTTAATCCTAAATTGAACAATTTCTCGCAGGTGAACCTCAGCTTTCACTGATTAGAAGAGATGTGCATGAATGATTTACAGTATATGTATGTTCAGTTCCAATATGTACTGTGATATTGTTTCCAGTTGTGCACCGATCTACCCAATGGGAGTTTATGTTTGTTGAAAAATAAGGGTGTATTTTTTTCTTTTGCACAATGTTTTGAACAAGTTAGAATTGCAAAGAGCATGCAGTAAAAATGTGAAACATACATATTCAGTGTCTTGTACTCAATTACTGTACCTCACTACGTAAATACAGTAAAGTGAAACTTTACTGTAGTTTTCAAATGGCTGCGCAAATAGTATATAGTGTTGTCTTGAGCATTTTCAGGTATAGTGTCTCCAAGATCTGACTTTTTTTGCATTGGCAAACACTTACAGAGTAAACTTTCATAATGAAAACATGACAAAGCCATTTGACTATCTTGTTCATAAACACTGGTGTCAGTACTTTTCATCTTGACGACACTGACACTTTCAATGACATGAATACTTGCTTTTGAGGAATGAGTTATCCGCGCTTTTGCAGGTTATAAACTAAGTTTTGCAGTTTGTACTAATTGTTTTGAGAAGTGCATGTGAGTGCATAGTGATGTGAGAAATGCACCAAAGCGACGGAGAAAAACTGTAATGAGCTCCTCCACAGTTTTATCAGCTGTCTCGCTAATATTGGCATGGTCTGTTCTGAAACATTTATCACTTGTTGAAGGCCAGAGAAGAGAGAGACATCCAGTGTAAATCACAGAAGCCACTCATATATTTTGCAAATATATCTAAAATCAATCAATCTCTTTTCCGTGTTTGTTCTCAGGAGTCACTCTTCCGGTGTTTGAGCATTTCCATGAGGGAGGAGACAGTAAGAATCCTGTTCCCTTCATGTTTTCAGAGGAAATACCCATGATCATCATCATCCTCAGAGTTTGATTTTCTTCTGTAGGTTATGAGCTCACTGGTCTGGCCAGAGGTGGAGAACAGCTGTCTCGTCTGAAGAGGAACTACGCTAAAGCCGTGGAGCTGCTCGTGGAGCTGGCCTCGCTGCAGGTCAGTCACCGTTAAACATTTACACACATATTAGAGAAATCTGCTTTTTCAATGTTTTTAATCAGTGTCTTTTGTGATTCATTCACATACAGACATCTTTCGTGACACTGGACGAGGCCATCAAGATCACAAACCGCCGTGTGAACGCCATCGAGCACGGTGAGATCTAGGCTTGTTTACCTATCAGATTGAGGAGCGATTCCCTGATATGATTGGAAAACGCTTAAAAGCGCTATATAAATGCCTCGTTCATTCATTCATTATGCTCTTTTACAGTCTTGGTTTTGTTTTTAGGCTCTACTAGAACAGGGTTTTATGCTTGAATGTTCAAAAACACGTTATTTTTCTCATATTGTTGCGGCTCCTCTTTTCCCAGTCTGTCAGTAACGCTCTGTTTCCCGAAAGCATCGTTAGCCAACTATGGTCGTTATCACAGTTCAACGAGTCGGTGTTTCCCGAAACTATAGTTCTAACGAACATTCGCAAACAGCAACGCAAAGTGTGTGTTAGGAACGACAGCTCTCAACATAATTGTATTGTGTTGCCCCTCCCCCTCCAAATGTTATCCAAATCAAGTAATCAGTCGATTATTTTGACAATTAAAAGAGTAGTTCACTTTTAAAAAAAACATTTGCTGATAATTTCCTCACCCCCATGTCATCCAAGATGTCCATGTCTTTCTTGCTTAAGTCGAAAAGAAATTAAGGTTTTTGATGAAAACTTTCCAGCATTTTTCTCCATATAATGGACTTCAATGGGGTCCAAACGGTTCAAGGTCCAAAACTGTTCAAAGGGCTTTAAATGATTCCAGGAGATGAATAAGGGTCTTATCAAGCGAAACGATGGCTTATTTAAAAAAAAAAAAGTTTAAGTTTTATAAGCGCAAATGTTCGCCTTGCTCTGTTCTGTGATCCGCGTTCGTGACTCTCCTGTTCGAACTCAAATTGATCAAATTGAACAAATCTTTTTCCGAGTCAATTCGTTCATTTTCTTCGTTGAATGAACCAAATGACACGAAAAAAGATTTGTTCATATTCATAAACGAGTCCACTTATAAAACAACTAGATCATGTGACGCTTGTGTGTTTTTCCTCTCAGTGATTATTCCCAGGATCGAGCGCACACTTACGTACATCATTACGGAGCTGGATGAACGGGAGCGAGAGGAATTCTACAGGTGAGACTGCAGTGCAATATTGCCAGGTCATGTGACCCTTTTCAGTTAGTAAACTTGGGGACCTTTTTTTGTGGGCGGAGCTTAGGTGGAGGCAGAACGATCCCTCTGGCCTCTTCCCTAATGCTAGTTTGCAAGTTTTGTTAGCTTGCTTTTTAACTATGGAGAAAATTTTAACAGACGCACTATTTTTATAATGGCATAAATGCTACGTGGGATCTCAATATCTCAGCTCTGGAAGGGTCTAGAGACTCCATTTTTGCACTCAGGTTTAAGTCTCATGGCCCTCTATCAGAATCCAGAGTTTTGAGAAGATTGGAGAAACTTAATTTTTCGCCCAAAAAAAAAAAAAACGAAAGGGGTAACACTGTCGTTTTTTTTTTTCGGGTCGAATGTTTGAGTTTCGATATCTCAGCTCTGGAAGGGTCTAGAGCCTCCATTTTTGCACTCAGGTCAAAGTCTCGCGGCCCTCTATCATAATCCAGAGTTTTGAGAAGATTGGAGAAACTTGATTTTTCGCCCGAAAACGAAAAAAAAACGTAAGGGGTAACACTGTCGTTTTTTTTTTCGGGTCGAAATTTTGAGTTTCGATATCTCAGCTCTGGAAGGGTCTAGAGCCTCCATTTTTGCGCTCAGGTCAAAGTCTCGCGGCCCTCTATCATAATCCAGAGTTTTGAGAAGATTGGAGAAACTTGATTTTTCGCCCGAAAACGAAAAAAAACGTAAGGGGTAACACTGTCGTTTTTTTTTCGGGTCGAAATTTTGAGTTTCGATATCTCAGCTCTGGAAGGGTCTAGAGCCTCCATTTTTGCGCTCAGGTCAAAGTCTCGCGGCCCTCTATCATAATCCAGAGTTTTGAGAAGATTGGAGAAACTTGATTTTTCGCCCGAAAACGAAAAAAACGTAAGGGGTAACACTGTCGTTTTTTTTTCGGGTCGAAATTTTGAGTTTCGATATCTCAGCTCTGGAAGGGTCTAGAGCCTCCATTTTTGCGCTCAGGTCAAAGTCTCGCGGCCCTCTATCATAATCCAGAGTTTTGAGAAGATTGGAGAAACTTGATTTTTCGCCCGAAAACGAAAAAAACGTAAGGGGTAACACTGTCGTTTTTTTTTCGGGTCGAAATTTTGAGTTTCGATATCTCAGCTCTGGAAGGGTCTAGAGCCTCCATTTTTGCGCTCAGGTCAAAGTCTCGCGGCCCTCTATCATAATCCAGAGTTTTGAGAAGATTGGAGAAACTTGATTTTTCGCCCGAAAACGAAAAAAAACGTAAGGGGTAACACTGTCGTTTTTTTTTTCGGGTCGAAATTTTGAGTTTCGATATCTCAGCTCTGGAAGGGTCTAGAGCCTCCATTTTTGCGCTCAGGTCAAAGTCTCGCGGCCCTCTATCATAATCCAGAGTTTTGAGAAGATTGGAGAAACTTGATTTTTCGCCCGAAAACGAAAAAAAACGTAAGGGGTAACACTGTCGTTTTTTTTTCGGGTCGAAATTTTGAGTTTCGATATCTCAGCTCTGGAAGGGTCTAGAGCCTCCATTTTTGCGCTCAGGTCAAAGTCTCGCGGCCCTCTATCATAATCCAGAGTTTTGAGAAGATTGGAGAAACTTGATTTTTCGCCCGAAAACGAAAAAAAACGTAAGGGGTAACACTGTCGTTTTTTTTTCGGGTCGAAATTTTGAGTTTCGATATCTCAGCTCTGGAAGGGTCTAGAGCCTCCATTTTTGCGCTCAGGTCAAAGTCTCGCGGCCCTCTATCATAATCCAGAGTTTTGAGAAGATTGGAGAAACTTGATTTTTCGCCCGAAAACGAAAAAAAACGTAAGGGGTAACACTGTCGTTTTTTTTTCGGGTCGAAATTTTGAGTTTCGATATCTCAGCTCTGGAAGGGTCTAGAGCCTCCATTTTTGCGCTCAGGTCAAAGTCTCGCGGCCCTCTATCATAATCCAGAGTTTTGAGAAGATTGGAGAAACTTGATTTTTCGCCCGAAAATGAAAAAAAACGTAAGGGGTAACACTGTCGTTTTTTTTTCGGGTCGAAATTTTGAGTTTCGATATCTCAGCTCTGGAAGGGTCTAGAGCCTCCATTTTTGCGCTCAGGTCAAAGTCTCGCGGCCCTCTATCATAATCCAGAGTTTTGAGAAGATTGGAGAAACTTGATTTTTCGCCCGAAAACGAAAAAAAACGTAAGGGGTAACACTGTCGTTTTTTTTTTCGGGTCGAAATTTTGAGTTTCGATATCTCAGCTCTGGAAGGGTCTAGAGCCTCCATTTTTGCGCTCAGGTCAAAGTCTCGCGGCCCTCTATCATAATCCAGAGTTTTGAGAAGATTGGAGAAACTTGATTTTTCGCCCGAAAACGAAAAAAAACGTAAGGGGTAACACTGTCGTTTTTTTTTCGGGTCGAAATTTTGAGTTTCGATATCTCAGCTCTGGAAGGGTCTAGAGCCTCCATTTTTGCGCTCAGGTCAAAGTCTCGCGGCCCTCTATCATAATCCAGAGTTTTGAGAAGATTGGAGAAACTTGATTTTTCGCCCGAAAACGAAAAAAAACGTAAGGGGTAACACTGTCGTTTTTTTTTCGGGTCGAAATTTTGAGTTTCGATATCTCAGCTCTGGAAGGGTCTAGAGCCTCCATTTTTGCGCTCAGGTCAAAGTCTCGCGGCCCTCTATCATAATCCAGAGTTTTGAGAAGATTGGAGAAACTTGATTTTTCGCCCGAAAACGAAAAAAAACGTAAGGGGTAACACTGTCGTTTTTTTTTCGGGTCGAAATTTTGAGTTTCGATATCTCAGCTCTGGAAGGGTCTAGAGCCTCCATTTTTGCGCTCAGGTCAAAGTCTCGCGGCCCTCTATCATAATCCAGAGTTTTGAGAAGATTGGAGAAACTTGATTTTTCGCCCGAAAATGAAAAAAAACGTAAGGGGTAACACTGTCGTTTTTTTTTCGGGTCGAAATTTTGAGTTTCGATATCTCAGCTCTGGAAGGGTCTAGAGCCTCCATTTTTGCGCTCAGGTCAAAGTCTCGCGGCCCTCTATCATAATCCAGAGTTTTGAGAAGATTGGAGAAACTTGATTTTTCGCCCGAAAACGAAAAAAACGTAAGGGGTAACACTGTCGTTTTTTTTTCGGGTCGAAATTTTGAGTTTCGATATCTCAGCTCTGGAAGGGTCTAGAGCCTCCATTTTTGCGCTCAGGTCAAAGTCTCGCGGCCCTCTATCATAATCCAGAGTTTTGAGAAGATTGGAGAAACTTGATTTTTCGCCCGAAAACAAAAAAAACGTAAGGGGTAACACTGTCGTTTTTTTTTCGGGTCGAAATTTTGAGTTTCGATATCTCAGCTCTGGAAGGGTCTAGAGCCTCCATTTTTGCGCTCAGGTCAAAGTCTCGCGGCCCTCTATCATAATCCAGAGTTTTGAGAAGATTGGAGAAACTTGATTTTTCGCCCGAAAACAAAAAAAACGTAAGGGGTAACACTGTCGTTTTTTTTTCGGGTCGAAATTTTGAGTTTCGATATCTCAGCTCTGGAAGGGTCTAGAGCCTCCATTTTTGCGCTCAGGTCAAAGTCTCGCGGCCCTCTATCATAATCCAGAGTTTTGAGAAGATTGGAGAAACTTGATTTTTCGCCCGAAAACGAAAAAAACGTAAGGGGTAACACTGTCGTTTTTTTTTCGGGTCGAAATTTTGAGTTTCGATATCTCAGCTCTGGAAGGGTCTAGAGCCTCCATTTTTGCGCTCAGGTCAAAGTCTCGCGGCCCTCTATCATAATCCAGAGTTTTGAGAAGATTGGAGAAACTTGATTTTTCGCCCGAAAACGAAAAAAACGTAAGGGGTAACACTGTCGTTTTTTTTTTCGGGTCGAAATTTTGAGTTTCGATATCTCAGCTCTGGAAGGGTCTAGAGCCTCCATTTTTGCGCTCAGGTCAAAGTCTCGTGGCCCTCTATCATAATCCAGAGTTTTGAGAAGATTGGAGAAACTTGATTTTTCGCCCGAAAACGAAAAAAAAAACGTAAGGGGTAACACTGTCGTTTTTTTTTCGGGTCGAAATTTTGAGTTTCGATATCTCAGCTCTGGAAGGGTCTAGAGCCTCCATTTTTGCGCTCAGGTCAAAGTCTCGTGGCCCTCTATCATAATCCAGAGTTTTGAGAAGATTGGAGAAACTTGATTTTTCGCCCGAAAACGAAAAAAACGTAAGGGGTAACACTGTCGTTTTTTTTTCGGGTCGAAATTTTGAGTTTCGATATCTCAGCTCTGGAAGGGTCTAGAGCCTCCATTTTTGCGCTCAGGTCAAAGTCTCGCGGCCCTCTATCATAATCCAGAGTTTTGAGAAGATTGGAGAAACTTGATTTTTTCGCCCGAAAACAAAAAAAAACGTAAGGGGTAACACTGTCGTTTTTTTTCGGGTCGAAATTTTGAGTTTCGATATCTCAGCTCTGGAAGGGTCTAGAGCCTCCATTTTTGCGCTCAGGTCAAAGTCTCGCGGCCCTCTATCATAATCCAGAGTTTTGAGAAGATTGGAGAAACTTGATTTTTCGCCCGAAAACAAAAAAAAACGTAAGGGGTAACACTGTCGTTTTTTTTCGGGTCGAAATTTTGAGTTTCGATATCTCAGCTCTGGAAGGGTCTAGAGCCTCCATTTTTGCGCTCAGGTCAAAGTCTCGCGGCCCTCTATCATAATCCAGAGTTTTGAGAAGATTGGAGAAACTTGATTTTTCGCCCGAAAACGAAAAAAAACGTAAGGGGTAACACTGTCGTTTTTTTTTCGGGTCGAAATTTTGAAGTTCGATATCTCAGCTCTGGAGGGTCTAGAGCCTCCATTTTTGCACTCAGGTCAAAGTCTCGCGCCCTATCGAATCCAGAGTTTTGAGAAGATTGGAGAAACTTAATTTTTCGCCCGAAAAAAAAAAACGAAAGGGGTACCACTGTCGTTTTTTTTTTTCGGGTCGAAATTTTTGAGTTCGATATCTCAGCTCTGGAAGGGTCTAGAGCCTCCATTTTTGCACTCAGGTCAAAGTC